GTTAAACTAGCTTTTCAACTTCGAAATATTCAGCGGGACAGCTTTGTAATACAACATTGAGAAGGACAAAGCCACATAAATCCTCTGACTGAACGGTGTCAACTTTGTGAAAATGGCCTTTTGTAAACCTATTTTATAATTACCAAATTTTGTAATTAAAATCTTATTGTGATGGAACCCAATAACGTGACATTGAACACAAATAATTAACATTATGATTGATAACAGTATTCATTTTAAAATTACGAGAGTCAAATAAAGAAAATGTAATTTTGCAAAATAATCCTTAGATATAATAATAATCTACCAAAGACCTAGCAGTTTAATACTTAAAATAAAAGAATATTTCTTTTGATTTACGGACATTTATCCCATCTGATGGCAAGAAGCTACCGTAGATTACAGATAATTGCAATATCGTACCAATATCGTACAGTGATTGTTACAAAGTTTTTTTTTTACTTTCCGATGGCTTTTTAGATTCCAATTTATTGGTAAAGCTTTAATTACGTTTACGATAAATCAGAATCAGAGAATACTACATGTGTGAAGTTCGATACTCGGTCGCTTTATATGTATATTTCTAAAATAAAGTTTACTATAATATAATGTTATATTTGCATGATAATTATCCTTCTCAGTCAGAGGTTGTCAGGCCATGACACACCTTACGGGCCAAGTGCGGAACGGGAATGCTAATGACTGCAAATGCATTTAGAGCATGCGCACGTGGAGCACGGAGCAGGCGTTCGCTCCGCGTGTTTGTTTCATGTTGCGTGCCCCGTCTCACGGGCGACGGCGCACGCTCCATTGGCTAACTTCTGTTCTCTTATTTGCGTCGCCTTTTGGATATAATACTACCTATTATCAACTAAAATAATCTACCTACTATCGACTGTTCACCCGCGTGTTCAAAATTGTACTGGCGACGCTGCAAGACAGCACTCGCTTCTCGCGGGTCCTACGACGGAGCACGGAGCGAATCTCCGAGACGGACGTCCGGTTTGTGATCCCGCTTAACGCAGCGCAGGCTCTTAAACTGCTTTCGTATAGGATAATATTTAAGTTAAACTTATTAAATCGCCATATTTTCAGCATCTTTAACAAGTCGTACTATATTTTTAATTGTTTTTAAAAAAACCTTATCAACAAGCATCAGTGGTTCAGTATTAAAAAACTCGCATGCTACGTGAGAGGACGGGGTCCGATTCTCAACTAAGAAAGAAGGTTTTTTCCGATTTTATAAACACCTTAAAATTTTCACTTGCAACGTGTTCTTTAATCACTATCTTTAGATACTTATCCTTATATAATTTGAAAACCAATCCTCTGACTGGCTTTTACTAAAATTACTCCATTACCATAAGCGATTTAACGGAACGCACTACTCACTGCCCTGTCTATGTCTTCTCATATCATATAATTGTAATGTCAGTAAATTATACAAATGCAAACTTTTTTTTGTAATTATTAATTAAGTAGTTAATTAAATACTTGTTAGTTTGTTCAATGGAGCTGCCATGTCATCTTACAAAAGATCCTAAAAAAACAATCCATTATTTATTCATACTGTTTTCAATATTGTACATATTCTCTATTGTGAATCGACGTATACACATATTAGTGGCGATCATACAAATATAGATATAATTGTACGTCACAAAAGCTCTGTACACACAATACTCACCGTAAGATTGAAATACACAAGGTGAAACTAGGTTATCCGGGGCAAAGCCGTGCCAGGCCACAGTCCAAACGAACTGGAATTAGTTGGAAATAAGTTGGCCCTGTCACGAGTCCACTGAGCGTGGAGGGTGTTAGCAATTTTATTACAAACTCCACTATCCCTGTCTATGTTTTAATCGCTTACATTTTCCATATGGATAATCTATTATGTTGTTACCACTTGGATCTTTGAGCGCGCGTCTGAGGAACTAGACACACACTATTTAGCAGGGGTGGGTCCGTTCGCGGAGAAATACCGGAGGGTGCGTAACCAGTCTTAAAAGGTGCCACGAAAAATGTCTTGATAAATGGACAGACGGACAACAAAAAGATCCAGTAAGGCATCCGTTTTTTTATTTTAAGGTACAGAACTAACAAATATCAGGCACATTCAATGGCAGTGGGTATACTATTGTACACTACGAAAGAAACTGATTGATTTACATGCATTATAATCTACCGCATAAAATAAGCTTGCTTAGGGTAAAAGCCGGATAGTCGCTGCAGTATGATACTTGCCCTGGTTTCGAGTATACTATGTTAGGGGGTGTTGTTACTGCTCTTCTATAACATACCTAAAGTATCTTTCCCGAATGCTTTAATGACAGGCAAATAGTAAAATTAGGTGCACGCGGTTTTTTCCGTGTGAGCAAATAACTTCCGCTGCAAAAATTTACTTACATCGAAAATATATAAGGGAGTATATTCTGTGGAACATTAGAAATAGAAATAGAACAAAGAATATGTATCCAAAAGGATAGTTGCTCTTTGGGCAACTATAAATTATTACCTAAAGTTAAAATATTGATGTTGATGTTTCTTCAACCCGTGAATAAAAGTTGTCTTTTACCGACTTCAAAAAGGAGGAGGTTCTCAATTCAGTCGGTATGTTTTTTTATGTATGTGCACGTAAATCTATATATTTTTGTATATACATATTTTTGAATAAATTAATATTTTTCAAATATTTATTCTACCATTTTGTCGGCTTCATTGATATACATTTCTCCACAAAATTACAGTTTTCTAGTGCTAACAGTCTCCAAGTAAGAGTGGGGACGGACAGACAGACGGATATGTCGAAAAAATGAGAGTACAAGGTACTCTACGGAACTCTACAGGACTACGGAACCCTAAAAAGAAATTGACAACGGCTCCCCATTTTGTAAATATAATCGTGTTCTTCGTTAAATATACTTACAAAGCATTGATATCTAGGTAAAAAAAAAACGTTTCTAAATTAGTTAACAGAGGAGTCGTTCAAACAGAAACGGTTAAAGCTTCCGACATATGCTAAATTCTCACGTGGCACTTATTATTATGGTTCAATTTGCAAATGCCCGGGGACTGTGCGTCACAACACTCGCACAGAGCTGAGCAAGAGCTTAAGCAGCAATGATAATTAAGCATTACGATGTAAGAGATGTGCAAACTGGTGAGTCGAGATCTTTACGGCTTATTCCAGCGCAATATCCATTCTGACAATGGGTTAGAATTAAGAAGTGGCTAATTTTGTGAATGAAGCTGATGTGCTTGGGGGAAATGTACACTTCTCGGCGTTGTTAGCCATTCCCGTGTAAATTAATAGTGCATTGTGATATGATGAGGTTATGCGAAATGGTTTGATTCATTTGGGCAACTGAAATTATCATGAAAACTTCAGTGTGTAGTAGTAATTGTAGACAATAATACTTAATTGCGGATAACTCAAAATAATATTATGTAACCCTAAACAAAGCAGAGTTGAGTACAACATTATATTCTGAAATAATTATGCAGGTAAAGAAATATGACACCGACTTTTTTCTGTTTATCACACTAATAAATGAATGACGTTCTACAAATATCAACACAAGACTTATGGAGTAGAAGACAGGAGCGCTGCCATTGCTTAGACTCTGGTCGTCAGTTAGTGCAAAAACAAAGGTTATGCAATTATTAGATTTCAGCGGGGGAGCAAAATTAAACATATACTGCTTTTGCTGTTACCGAATCCTCACAATTTTTATTCATCGGTATTAAAATTCTTAAGAAATGTGTTAAACTTAAAAATAATTTGCAAAAGTTTGTCAACATTGTTTAGACTCACGTAGCCAGAGACTAATGGATTTTTTTCTTGTATGGAATTATACTAGTTTTAATTTAAAGAAAAGTTTTACTAGAAAAAAAAACATCTAGCAGTTAAATGCTTAAAAAAACAAAACTGGTTTTAATTTGTCAAAGAGTAAATATTTTTCAGTTACGTTGCTCATAGTTGCAATTTAAATTGGCTGCTAGCCAGCCTTAATTAGTATTAATTTGATTAACAACTATTTAAGGTTCCATTATTGAGAATACTAAGTGGTACCTAAATTTATTTCTGACTTTTATTTAATTCTTGTGTACCTGAGTCATTGTTCGTAATAAAATCAAGAAGCAAAAATTTAGTTGATACCTGTAACAGCTAAAATGGCATTTATATATCTGTTCTTGTTCAGTTCATATGTCTTTAGGTACTATTCTGGACTATGGTATTTTAGCGTATCGAGTCGTTTAACCCAGCGGTAGGCTATGCGTAACACATTTCTCTGGTTAAAGCAAAAATCGGTAGGAAAAGTCTTTTTAAGGCTTCGAAAAGCTTCGGACACTAGTGTGAGTGTCTAAAACTTTTAAGATAAGATTTTAAATCTACATATCAACCTGGTTTGTTAACTTTGAAGTAGACAACTGTATGGAAGTAGTCTGCTTCAAAGTTAGCAAACCCTACAAAATTACTCTGGGAATTATATCTCTGGTAAACAAACATATTAAACACAGGCATTAAAATTTAAATAAAAGCTTGTAATAACAGATAGATTTCACTTTTCTCCTCATTGGAATCATTAATAACAATGAATTCCCAATTCTTAATATGAAAATATGTAGTGTCGCCGCACACGGGCCACCGACCACAACCACAAAACGCCGCCACCGGCATATTTCATGTAGTTTTCATACATTTTATATGGACTCGCCACACACGGTACGCCGGTGGCCGCCACACACTACAAATCGTCGTTGCTCGCTTCTTGTGGTACGCACCGGCAACTTATTGCGCCGATACAACACGCCGCCACAGGTCACTCGCGCGATTTCCCACCCCTCTCTCCCTTACCTTAGTCGGCCGCTGTCGCGCGCTTCAGTCACTTTAGCAGCCGCTTCTAGCTTCTCGTGGCGGCGTTTGTGGCTGTGGCGTGTGGCCTGTATGCGGCGACACTTAATTAGCTGTAAGCTTAAAGACAAGACAGTCAACTTACAGACAACGTCCAACTTAAATGAGTCGTCGATGCTTTGCCCCGGCAACGCACTGTTGTCCGATTGGCATTTCATCAACACGCCGTCGTCTTCTGGAAGTGGCATGAACTGCAGGACGCTGCTCACCCACGTCTCATTCATACTCTCCGTTATCTAAAATAACAATAAAGCTTCAGATGTGGTACTGGGAAAGATTTTTGCTGTTAAATTCTATAAAATTGATGTCGTTTGGTAGGTTTTTTTGCCCGGATTCTAACCTCGTCTTTAAAGTACATATCTAGGTGTTTAGGTGATGATGCTTTTACTAATGTGTATTATTGCTAAGATAACTTTGAAAATCACAACAGGGTGATGTAAAAGGGTGGACGGGTAATTAATGTTATTATTAAGGTAGGTATGTAGTGCATATTATTTAAACAGTACTAGAAAAAAATATCTGGAGCTATTCCGCCATTACTTTGAGTTGCATCTGTAGTCATTAGAACCCAATAATGCACAACGAGTCTACGTGGTTATTCAAGACCCGCTCTTCTTATTCCGTCCATGAGGAAAGCATGAACCCAACCAGTGGGGGCGTTATTAAGCTGATTAAGATATATGTAAATTGAGATCAAGGCATGATTCCATTGTGAAGACAAATTAATTATTATACGTACAATTTATATTTACATAGACTGTAATAGTACAAGATAAATATAGTTACAATTTAAAAACGGGTAAATCTTTAAAAGAAGAACGAAAAAACTAAAATACGATTTAATTTCTTACCTCGCCTCTTTTAAACTTCCTGTTGTCCTTGTACCAAGTGAGTTGAGCTGGCGGTCTACTGCCCTCGGACACGCACGTCAAAGTGACGTACCTCTCCGAGGATAGCGTTGTGGGTTTGTTCAGAATCTCCACGAGATTCGGTCGCACTGGAAAACGGTTATCCTTGTTACCATGAAAAACCATACCATCGAAACATGAAATCAGATTCATATCAAATAGGGTGTATTTTACTGACTTATATTTACACTTAAAATCAACTATACACATGGCTTACTCTATAGCCCTAATGAAGTAAACGGAGGGTATATTTTGTTTATTTTTCTCTTTTTAGTTTATTACAAAACATAGAACGAGTTTATTGCGACTGAATACGTATCCTCTGCAGTTCCGATAAGAGAAGATTATTATATTGCAAGATTTTTTTATTACCCCCCTTTAACGTGAAATAAACAGAATATGTTAAGACAAATGCAATGAGCCCAAACTCGATTTATATACTAGTAGGCAGTCCCGGGTCCATCAGCCACCTTCCAGCCCATCATCAGGTCCTCGTCATCAGGAAAATTAACAGAATATGTTAAGATGAATCTAATGAGCCCAAAATCGATATGTTTACTAGTAGGCAGTCCAAGGTCCATTAGCCACCTTCCAGTCCATCATCAGGAGAAATGAACAGAATGTGTTTAGATGAATCTATTGAGCCCAAATTCGATATGTTTACTAGTGGGCAATCCAAGGTTCCATCAGCCACCTTCCAATCCCATCATCAGACCAGCTCAGTGCTACTATAATATTGTATTGTCATCTAATCTACATATATTTGCCAAGTTTCGTGATGATACAAGCATTAGAAGTGCGTCAAAATCGAGTCCAAACGAGTCAGTTACATACAAACAAACATACGGGTGAAGCTAATAAAAGCGAGCCACCTTCCAGTCCCATCATCAGACCAGCTCGGTGGTACCCTAATATTGTATTGTCATCTTTGTCATCTAGTCTACATATATTTGCCAAGTTTCATGATGATACAAGAATTAGAAGTGCGTCAAAATCGAGCCCAAACGAGTCAGTTTCATGATGATACAAGAATTAGAAGTGCGTCAAAATCGAGTCCAAACAAGTCAGTTACATACAAACAAACATACAGGTGAAACTAATAAAAGCGAGCCACCTTCCAATCCCATCATCAGACCAGCTCGGTGGTACCATAATATTGTATTGTCATCTAATCTACATATTATTTATATATATTTGCGAAGTTTCATGATGATACAAGAATTAGAAGTGCGTCAAAATCGAGCCCAAACGAGTCAGTCACAAACATACAGGTGAAACTTATTAAAGCGTGTTAATAATAAGGTAGAGTTTAGCAAATTAATACATATCTATATACTAGTAGAAGAACAACAAGTCCATTAAGGTCTGAGTAGCATAGCAGTTCGTGCATACAATCGGTTAACGAAAGCTGCTAATTCGAATTACGACTTGAAACATGACCTAGTTTAATTATTTATACTTTATTTTATTAAGTTATAAAAATATAGCAGTGTAAGGTTGCTACATTTTCACTCACTTAAGTAACAATTTGTAGATTTTAAGCTAAAATTATGTTACTTGAGTGATGTTAACAAAACACGTCTAAATTTATAAACATAAAAGCAAGAATAATGTCTAGTTCAGCGTAAATTGTTTTGAAACACTTACGATTCATCTCTAGCCTCACAGTTTTCTCCTGCGGGCTCACCAAGTTGGTGTTCGAAGCTCTGCACTTGAATGTAGTATTCAGATGGCTCCTCCTGATGTGTGGCAACTCCAGCTTGTTAACCACCACATGTGTGTCAGTCTTCTCTCCGATGTATTGCGGGGCTGGCGTGCCGTCAATCAGCCATACCACTGTGGGCGCTGGTCGACCTGGTGGATAATAACACATAAATAATATTTTAATAGTAATCGGTGTGGATATTAGCTAAGTTAACGGTATTTACTATTATTAAATTATGATTAAGTATTCTGAGAAGTGGGCGCCATTCAAGAACCTCCTTGCTACGAGTCCCGCCCATTGACACTTCAGCAGAGCATTCCTTCGAACGATATCTGTTACTAAGATAAGTTCAGCAGTGGGTGTTATATGGATTATATGATGATGATGATGCCGCGTTTCCATAGAATCGGAGCTTCACGAAGCTGACCAGTCTTAAAATGGCATGACTCATTCATTATTTTGAGCAGTCCATTGGTCAATTTCTTTTAGACGCTGGTCTGCTTAGAAGCGGAGCTTCTGTACAATCGCAGCCTAAATATGGTTTATAGAATTCAATATGGCCACGGAGATCGTCGTACATAGGTACACAGATAAATTTTATGGGGCTTAATAAAAAATGGAATGAGGTTACACTTTCTGATAGTGAAGCATCGCATCGCTGACGGTATTCAAACTGAGACAAACACGTGCACATGCATTTCGTGCATTAACCCGAAAAAAGTAGTTTTATTTAATGAGTGATGTGCGTGAAAACCTAAGAAACAAATATGAGATAAGCACACCCACAAAATTTTATGACACAATGCGGTCTATAATCATTCAAAGATAATAAACAAACTATCCCAGAAAGTGGAAGAAAGGGTAAGTTAATATATGACACACATACAGTCGTGACCTTATGACCTGACAATAAGGTCACGCCTTATCCCGGAAGGGTTGGCCGATACAATTGAGTTCCACTTTACGCGATCTAGATACAATATCTCTTTTTGCTTTCGGAAAATTAATTTAGCGCAGCAAATATCTGTTTTTATATCCTTAAGTCCTCGTTCTTTTTAGAAAAAAAATACAAACTTTTAAAAACGGATTAAAACATTCTGTTTCAAATGAAAGTAAGCATAATTTTCATTTGCAAAAACTATTTATGTTCTAAACACGAAGTTATTTAGTTGGTACGAAACAAAATATTTAAAATTACTAATTGGGTTTCTATTTCAATCAAAATACGACCCCATTTTAATCGCGTAAAGCTTAAAGTCAAACGGTCGATTAAAACTAGATTGACTACACGAAATGCTAATACAAATATGGTGTAATGTATCATGAAATTGTTGTTCAAAGTTTGAGTGGCTTATTAATGCTGTTGTAAGCAACGGGTCGCGGGTTCTATGGGTCTTTCTCCCTCTGTCACGTTTCATAAATTTCATTAGAGGCTGACTGCGAAATTATTTTTCCAGAAATTATATTTTACAAAAACAAAAATAATAGGTGTCGAATTCAGCACATTATTAGTATTGCATTTGTGTTTAGTTTTTATCACAATATCTATTTTAATTATGGGATACTTTAAAATTAATAACGAAATAAAAAATTCAAGATAATCTATAACCCAAAAGGGGCAGATTGGGTTTCAATTTATATTACAATCGTAAGCCGAATGTGGTATTCCAACTGCTTCAAGACATTATTTTAAGTTTCAACTCATTGCTTACCGACTTCGTGTCAGTGGGATCACGCATAATTTTCAATTGAGTTTTAACCATGGTCCCACAAGGGTCCCAATGGTATAATACCACAACAACAATATATACATAGGAATCATTGAAATAATTTCGAATAAAAAAAAAAAAAAAAAAAAAAAAAAGTCAACTGAACTGTCGGATCCTCTGCTCATATTTTGGATTTTAAAATTATTATTATGACCCATAAATGGTAAAAAATACCATATTTTTGCAGCCCAAATTTTTCTTTATGACCCCGCATGTGGGCAACCTGAGTGCTGATGTATTTACCTGGAATGTGATTACATAAATTCTGCTATTTTGTTGACATTTCCCCGAACAAATTGTGTAACTAAGGACGCCTTGGACATCCACGACTGTTGCTAGGTACCCGCTACTACTCAGCCAATAGGAGGCTTGATTTGCTCCCGCGGCCTAGCAACCTTGACGGACCTAGGTAACGACGCATGCGTCTTGTCACCAAAAGAAGCAGCTGTCATATAGACTGACTTTTTATGTTTACATTTTAAGTTTCTTTAGTGTACAGTTTAAGTTTCTTTAGTGTACATTTTAAGTTACTTTTTGTGTTTTTAAGTTTTTATTTATTTTTGAATGTATTTAACTATTGTGAATGCAGTCCGTGACCCAATCTTGTGATGGCACGTCGAACGCGACCCACAACTGTACACAGTGCCACAAGTCTTTTAAATCTTTGAAAGGCCTCAAAATACACACTTCAAAAACACACAGGCAATGTATTAGTCAAAACAATTCACCTTTAGACATCCATCCCATTATTCCGAGTGCGCCTACTTATGATGCCAACGATCCAACTCCTTTCCACACATATCTCAGCCATTTGAAAAATAGTATACCAATAGTTAAAAGAATCCCGCGAGGAGCTCGAATAACCGTTGCTACACATTTGTCACAATTAATCCAGAAATGTTATATAAGCAATTTGACTCAAGACTGGCAGAACCTATTTTTATTTTCATACAGCACACTTCATATCTCAAAAACTGATGAACCGAATTTATCCTTGACACAAAAGATTAAGAATAACTGTGCTGTAAGCTCCTCGCCTTCTCCCGCACCTCTAATCAAACATGATGCCCCTCATAATCGCAAAAAACTCGTTGAAAACAAAATCTGTGACGGAGATCTCAAAGGTGCCGTTCGCCTTTTGTTCTCCAATGACGTGCTATCACCAGATACCCCTGACACCCTTCAGGCCTTACGGACAAAACATCCCCCAGCTCCAGCAAACCCATATTTTCTCGACCCACCAACAGCAGGGCAAGCATGCCTTCAAATTCAATACAAAGATGTTATGGATGCCATTTTATCTTTTAAACCAGGTTCGGCTGCAGGTTTGGATGGAATCTCACCCCAACATTTGAAAGATTTAACATCGCATTCTGTGGGTAATGCAGGCGAGCAACTTGTAAATTCGATCACTAAATTAATCAACTTTATGTATTCCGGTAGTGTCAATCCAGAAATTGTTCCTATTCTTTTCGGCGCGAACCTCATTGCCCTGACCAAAAAGGACGGAGGGGTGAGACCAATTGCTGTTGGATCAACACTACGACGTCTGGCCTCCAAAATTGCTGTTCGACATATTTTACCAAAACTAAATTCGGAATTTGAACCCGTACAGTTAGGCTTCGGTGTCAAAGGAGGGTGTGAGGCAGCCGTCCATGCCCTACGCTCCTTCCTAACTTACGGGCAGCCTGACGTGTTGCTCAAAATTGATGTCAAAAATGCATTCAATTCGGTAAATAGGGATACCCTGCTGACAGAAATAAAACAACATATACCGGAAATATACAATTATCTTCTTCTCAGTTACGCCGACCCAACAAAATTGTTATATCGTTCTAATGAACTGTCCTCGGAAGTAGGTTGTCAACAGGGTGATCCCCTTGGGCCTGCAATTTTTAGTTTGGCCATAAATCCGATAATCAAAAATTTAAATTCTAAATTCAATGCTTGGTATTTGGACGACGGAACCCTAGGAGGTGATGTGGATACTGTGTTTTCGGACCTTTTTTTAATCAAAAATAAATTTGAAGACATCGGTTTGGAGCTTAATTTTAGCAAATGCGAACTTTTTATAAATAACAACGACTTAAATTTAAATGACGTTAAACAAAAATTTAATATTTTAGCTCCAAATATTAAAATAGTTAACAGTAATTCCCTTTACCTTTTAGGTTCTCCAATTTTTGATGAATCTATTTCTGAATATATTAATAATTCAATTAATAAATTTCAAAATTCTGCCGACCGTCTCTTTGAAATTAGTCCACATTATGCACTTTCCATCTTGAAATTCTGTCTTTTTGTCCCAAAATTTACGTATGTGCTCCGTTGCTGCTCCTTTTGGAATCACTTAGATCTTTTGTCACAATTAGACGACTTAATCAAAATTAACTTAGAATCGGTTCTTAATATGCAGCTGAACGAGCAATCTTGGACCCAAGCATCCCTACCCATCCGTTATGGTGGTTTAGGGATTCGCAAAATTTCCAGTGTCGCTTTACCAGCCTTCCTATCTTCTGTCCATAGTTCAGCAAATCTCATAAGTAAAATTTTAAGGGCATCCCCTTCAAACTTTGAGATTGCTGGCTTGGAAGAAGCTAGAAACGCTTTCTTAATTGCATGCCCAGGTCAAAAATTTCCAGTTTCTCCAAATTCACAGAGGAACTGGGACGACATAAATTGTAAATTAACTTATAATAACCTTTTGAGCTGCAGTACAGGTTCGGCGCGTGCTAGGCTTTTGGCCGTGGGTACACATGAGGCCGGCTACTGGCTTCACGCGTACCCTTCGACAAATACAGGCACATTTCTTGAGCCTGACACACTCCGAATGGCAACCTGTCTACGGCTTGGGGTCCCGGTCTGCGCTCCTCATAAATGTCCCTGTGGCAGTGATGTCGACAAGCTAGGACATCATGGACTGTCTTGCCAAAAAAGTGTAGGCCGCTTCTCGAGACACGCCGCACTTAACGATATCATACGCCGGTCCCTTGCCGCCGTCAACGTGCCAAGTCTACTTGAGCCAACTGGTATTGCAAGAGACGATGGCAAGAGACCGGACGGTATGAGTTTGATTCCATGGAAGATGGGTCGGGTGCTAGTATGGGATGCAACCTGTTCAGACACGCTGGCACCTTCCCATCTACATGGAACCAACAACAGAGCTGGTGCGGCTTGTGAAGCGGCTGAAAAAGTTAAGGCAGGCAAATACAGGGGTCTAGGCTCCGAATATGATTTTGTCCCATTCGGTGTCGAGACCCTTGGTCCGTGGGGTCCTAGCGCTATAAGGCTTTTTAAAGAAATAGCGAAAAGATTAGTTGACATCACAGGAGACCGAAGAGCTGGCAGCTACCTCGGACAAAGAATAAGTCTAGCTATCC